CTGGTTTTTCCTTTCTATTATTTTCCTCTATATCTTTGCACTGTTCATTTAAGAAGGCTTTCTTGTCTATCCTTGCTATTCTTTGGAAGTCTGTATTCAATTTTCTGTAACTTTCCCTATCTCCCTTGCATTTTGCTTCCCTTCTCCTTGTTGGACAGCCACTTTGCTTTCTCGCATTTCCTTTTCTTTGCATGGTTTTTGTTGCTGCCTCCTGTACAATGTTACGAGCCTCCATCCATAGTTCTCCAGGCACTCTGTCCACCATATCTAGTTCCTTAAATCTGTTCTTCACTTCCACTGTGTATTCATAAGGGATTTGGTTTAGATTATACCTGACTAGCCCAGTGGTTTTTCCTCCTTTCTTCAGTTTAAGCTTGAGTTTTGCTATAAGAAGGTGACGATCAGAGCCACAATCAGCTCCAGGTCTTGTTTTTGATAACCGTATAGAGCTTCTCCATCTTTGGCTGCAGAGAATATAATCAATCTGATTTTGGTATTGCCCATCTGATGATGTCCATGTGTAGAGTCTCCTCTCATGTTGTTGGAAAAGAGCGTTTGTGATGACCAGCTTGTTCTCTTGACAAAGCTCTATTAGCCTTTCCCCTACTTCGTTTTGAACTCCAAGGCCAAACTTGCCTGTTGTTCCTTTTATCTCTTGGCTCCCTACTTTAGCATTCCAGTTCCCTATAATAACAAGAACATCTTTTTTGTGTCAGTTCTAGAAGGTGTTGTAATTCTTCATAGAATTGGTCAATATCAGCCTCTTCAGCATTGGTAGTTGGTGCATAAACTTGGGTTACTGTGATGTTGAAAGGTCTGCCTTGGATTCATATTGAAATCATTCTATCATTTCTGAGATTATATCCCATTACAGCTTTTCCCACGCTTTTGTTGACTATGAGAGTGACCCCTTCTATGGGATTCTTGCCCACAATAGTAGATATGATAATCATCTGAATTGAATTCGCCCTTTCCCATCCATTTTAGTTCACTGATGCTCAGGATGTCAATGTTTATTTTTGATATATCCTGTTTGACCACATCCAGCTTTAGATCTTACATTCCAGGTTCCTTTGCAGTAGTTTTCTTTGCAGCATTGGACTTTCCTTTCACTTCTAGGCACGTCCACCGCTGAGCGTCCTTTCGGCTTTGGCCCAACCACTTCATTAGCTGTGGAGCTACTTGTACTTGTCCTCCGCTCTTTCTCAGTAGCACGTTGGACGCCTTTCGACCTGAGGGTCCCATCTTCCAGCGCCATATCTTTTAGCCTTTTGTTTCTGATCATGGGGCATTCTTGGCAAAGATACTGGAGTGGAATTGCCGGTTCCTACTCCAGGTGGATTGCGTTTAGTCGGAACTCTCCACTATGACCTGTCCGTCTTGGGTGGCCCTGCACGGCATAGCCCATAGCTTCTGAATTACTCAAGCCCCTTTGCCACAAGGCAGCAATCTGTGAAGGGGTATTAGACATATGTAAAAACCAGTAGGATTCTGGGCATTATTTTTTCTTTGTGGAGTGGCAAATATGAAATAAAGGACAAGGCAGAAATCCTGGCCTTTATCACAATTGTAATTAGCATTCATATATCATTACCCTTTCAGTTGCTTTTCAAAGTAGAAGCAAAGATATTGCAGTGGAACACATGTCTGATCACCACAGTACAGTACTGGGTGACTGGGTGGGAAAGCAGCCGGGAGGGGTGACTTTGATCCACAACCCTCCCAAATACCCCTGAGGCTTTAATGAAGTTCAATTTATTTAAATTGTCTCCTCTAGACTACTCCACTCTCAAAGTCAATACACAGTTTCATGAAAAAGTCTTGGTAGTTTTCAGGTGAAAAAAATGCACACAAGCTTTAAAATAACTGCAAAGAGGTTTTTTTTTTTTTTAAAAAAATCAGTTTTTAGACTGGTGTAAGAAGCCACAGAGTTCCAATGTTTAGTTAAAGGGCTTTAAAAATATTCTGTTTGAAGCTGACCTTATTATAGGGCAGAGAGAATGACAGAAGAGTGCAAAATCAGAAGGACTCACGTGGTTGATGAGTCTCTCCCCCCCCCCAAGTCCTTCCTCCATGCCCAGTTTTCTACTACTAATAAAGAGATACAAATAACTCTATCAATTACAGTGTTTCGATGCTTAACATTGTAATCTTTCCAGACATGGCGCCTTCCAGAGGCTACACAGCTTGAGCTACACGGTCGATAGGCAATACGGCCAATGCTTATGCTGGCTGGGGATGATGGATGTAGTAGTACCAAACAAATGGAGGGGCCTGTTTGAGGTTGGCGAAGGAGGTAAGAGGCAGTGATGAGGGATGTTGCTTTTCAGCCCTTGCTCTTGTTTCCTATGCTGGTCTGATGTTCTCTCTTTAAAAAAAAAAAAAACAGTCCGTCTTTTACAATTAAAAGACTTGCGTGAAGAGGTTCTGCTCCAGTTTTGCCGTTAGATGGTAGGCGTAGCAAACGGGAAGTGGAAGTCGTACAGTTTGTGTCAGTCTACCCTTGCCTAAGTCTATGATTTTATAGACCTACGTATTTACTGTGGTCCCTGCGTCGGACGTTCTAAGGAGGACGATCTCTATGGAAACGCGTTGGTTTAAGGATGCCCTTCCTTTTACTCCGCCTTTATGACTTTCGACACTTTTTTTTTCCGGAAGCGGAAGCGGACGAGCGACTGGGATGCGGAAGTGCCGGCTGCGGCGGGGTAGCTCGGTTGCCCAGCGGTTGCCACCATGGCAGCGGCTGGGGTCCCGGGAAGCGGCGGTGGCGGGAGCCCAACAGTGGCTGCAGGAGGTGAGAGTGGGGCCACCTGCATCCTTTTTCCTCGGAACCTGCCATGGGGCTGGGCCAGGAGAAAGTCCTCCCTGCTGGATGGAGGGGGGCGCGGGCGGATGTGGGGAGCAGGGAGAGACGTGCAAATAAGAGGGTTGGTTCTTTTTTGACACCCGCCGGATTCCTAACATTCTTTGCGGGGATGCTTCTCCCTTCTTCGCCGCCTCTTCACGCACACCTGGGTCCCTCCGGGTGTGGTTGGAACCAGCTCCCATTAGCCCCTGCTAGTTGTGACCGGGGACTTTGGGAGTTGTAGTGCAACAACATCTGGAGGGGGCCACGAGTTTTCTACTCTCGACGCGCGCTTTAAGCGTTGCCGTCTTCCTTCCCTCGATGTGTGCAAGCTCCGGGGTAGTTGACTGCTTGCCTGGTGCATTTGCCCCGAGGACTAAAACGTCCATGTCGGTGTGCATAGAAGTGTTTGGGGGGGGGGAGGATTCCATCTGTTTCCATTGAGACCGTTGAAGCGATTGAATGGATATTAATGCCTGTGGATGCATTATATTATGTGGTCACTGTGGAGGCATTACATTATGTGCTCCTTCCTTTGTTCCTTATCTCTTTCTCTCTTCTTCCTCCCTGCCTTTTCTTTTTCTTTTTGTTGAAAGAGGCCAGCAAACTGGTAGGCAGAAACTGCTAATAGCTTTGAGGAACCAGGGTTGAGTATTTTATTATCATATCAACAATAATTGCTAGTATAATGCATGACTGCTGTACAGGAGTCATCACAGCTAGTCGTGCTGATAATCATTGGTTTAGATTCATTCTTCTTGTTGTTCCTATGAAGATGGCTCATATGTTTGCCATGCCTGTTCAAAGGCAGTAGGTCTTTGATCACCAGATGCAGCTATAGAAATCTGTCATACTCATTATTGTGCCTGCCTTGTGAACTTCCTGAAGGACCTAGATCGACTTAACCTAGCTAGCCTGTTACTCAGGCTATCTATCATATGATGCAGTACAGATGTTTGATTTAACCACTGCTTCTATGGTTTGAAGATAGGCAAATTTTAAAACTAACATGAGAAAGTCCCTGGTTAGAATTTCAACAACAGAAGTTGCATTGTCTTCCTGTTCTGGAGAATACCTATTTAGCTGTTTGCTGTGGGCAGTTTCGTGGTTTGTATTAGGCCTTTTCTGGTTGGATTTCTCTTTCAGAAAGTGAATTGCTCCTATACCTAAGAATGGAATGTTGTTCTACAAGATGGGACTGTGCCATTTCTCTGTCCCACTTCCTGATAGGTGCATGTTTGCAGCGCCAGGTGCAGGACATATTTGCAGAGCCAAACAAAACAGGATGCCAGTAGTTTGAAGGATCCGGTTTAAGCGTCAGCAGAGCAGGATGGAAACCTCTGACCTCGACTTTTAATATAGCATTCTGACCTAATTCTGTAGATGTGAAAGACTATGGGGAGGTTTTGTTCTGCACTTATAATGGGCGAGCCTGGGTGTTTTATCTTTTGCTGGAGCAATATTGTTCAACAGCTGAGTTGCGAAGAACTGCTGGATAGCTCAGTGGTTTAGGTATCTGACTGCTGAAACAGAGGTTGGGAGTAGAGATGGGGTTATTCTTCCCGATCGGTTGGGCTCTCCAGGCAGGGGGAGGGAGGATGAGGCTCCCTGCATGGCTGCCGAGTGGCCAGCCGAACGGGAAGAGAGCTTCACTCTGGCTACAATTGGAAGGATGAGTGGGTCTGCCGCCGCTGGTGGATCCGTGAGCTAAGTCTAGCTGTGCGGGGATATTCGTATTCATATTTGTATACAAATATGAATACACCCATCTCTAGTCAGGAGTTCAATTCCCCACTGGGCCTCCTTGACTGGACTGGGCTGGGCTTAATGATCCACAAGATCCCTTCCAGCTCTGCAGTTTGAAGATTATACAGTATTATGATTTCACCTGACCTCATGCAGCCAAGTTATTGAGCAAGCCTTCATTATTAGCAGGTGGTCCAGAAAAATATTAACCCTTGTAGGTCTTGATCTTGTATCAGGTGAGGTGAACCTGACTCTGCAGTTGCTTGGGACTGGAAGTCACATCAAACAAAGACTTGTGTCCTTGTATCTCCCTTTAAACAGACTTATTTCAGGCAAGGGTTTAATATGCTCTGTCTTCAGTGTCCTGGTCTGCAAATAGTTTTATAGTCTGCATATACTTCCTCAGCATGTTAAGGTTGGTGGATTTGGGCTTGCCATTCTTCCCAGTTCCCCAAAGTGTGCTGCCATCCATCTCTGCATTTGGCTTGGTGGTTACAAAGGGACTCCAGTTACTGATGCCCATGTGACTTCTGATACATGTGGTGTCAAGAAGATTCCTGCCATGTGCGATTTTCCATCTGCCTTCTGAGATATCCCCAACACTCTTGTTGGGAAAGGTAATGTTTCTCCAAATCTCTGTCTCTTGACTGATCGTGGTTGTACTGTGACCATTGCTGCTTGTCCCTAAAGCTGAGAGGCTGAGTTGATTCTCTTTTTCCCTTTCCCAGGTAACCGCCAGTTGAAGTACATCAGTTTGGCTGTCTTGGTGGTACAGAATGCCACTCTCATTCTCAGCATCCGCTATGTACGCACCCTGCCTGGAGACCGATTCTTTGCCACTTCGGCGGTGGTCATGGCTGAAATCCTTAAGGGAGTCACTTGCTTACTGCTCATCTTCATCCAGAAACAAGGTGGGAATATTCTGTCTGAGGGACTAAGGAGCACTTCATTCTAATGGGCCACACTCACTGTGCTCACGAGTGGTCTTTCTAAGTTGAGCTCGGAGTTTTTGTTTTTTCAATCTGGTGGCCGACTTGAAAAATATGCACCTCTTTTATGTTTGGCAGTGTCTTCACTTAATTGTTCTTTGTTATTACCATCTAGGCTGGACTCGGTGTGATTTCAGTGTTACTGTTGTAAAGATAAGTATAATCTGAGTGTGTGCCACAGGTTATATTTACATACATAAATAAGAAAAATACTTCATCTATTACAGTGTAAAAACTTTGATCTCCTGAAAGATAAAAGGCCCAGATTTCAAACAAAAACAAGCCTTTGTGGTTACATTCACCTGTACCACTTATTGCTTTGGGATACATGATGTCTACTCATAGGAATTCCTTTATAAAGGAATTAGTTGAAAGAAAACTCTGGATATTAGCCATCATAGCCAGCAGTATATTTGCTTTTATAGATAGCATAGCTCTCATATTGAGGGAGGGGACTGGCATGGTCAGGACCCTCTCGGCAACTTCCTCATAGTTCAGTAGATAACAAGTTGAGGTTAAATAGTGTGACTAAGTGTAGAAAGACCCTGTAGTACCCAGTTGTTCCTCCACATAGTACTCTAGGGATGTTCTATGTCCAGTTCTATGCCACTGCTTATCTATCCAGAACTTTTTTCTGCTGGCCCTTGACATGGGCTCCTGATTGCAACAGATTGTCACTTCCCATTTTGAAAGACTAGATGGCTTTTCCTGAGCGAAGACACTCTGGTTTCCCAAAGTGAAGAGTAGCAATTAGTCTGTCCATCTGTACCTCATTTGCTGATTCCCCTGTGTTTACCAAGGCACAGGCACATGAGAGGAAGCAGCAGAGGTGCCATGACTGCAGTTCATGTTAGAGACGTAAGGATTAAAGAACCCTTTGAATCTTAATTCTCATGAGACAGATGTCTGTGGGTGGGTTACTCAGTCATCCAATTCCATTTTGGTTACCAATAAATTATCCTCATTAAAAGATAGTTGCCAACTGAGACAGTCATCTCTGTTTGTCTGTGTCTCTCCAGGTAACCTGAAACAGTTTGTCAGCTCTCTGTATGACTCCATTGTGGTGCAGTACATGGACACACTCAAGCTAGCAGTGCCTTCTCTCATTTACACCCTCCAAAACAACCTCCAATATGTGGCCATTTCCAACCTGCCTGCAGCCACCTTCCAGGTGAGACGCCAGCCCTGGGACTAGCCTTCTGCAATGCTGTTTACTCAGAGAGTCTTAGAGCTCAGTATTAATTGGTTCATTCCCTTCACACTCTCTTCCAGCCTATATTGAATGCTGTGTATCCTGAATTGTGCACTAATACTTATAAAACAGCTGTCATTAAAGTCAGATGCTGTGGGTTTCCGTGCTTATTTCACAAACTTTCACTGACAACACACTTCCCCCCCCACACACACACACCTTATTCCCACACTGAAAATATTTGCCATAGGAAATTATTCATTAGAGAAGAAACAGTCACCCTTTTCTGCAATAGCCAGAGGTGCCTTGGAAAGGTATTTGTGCATCCAAGTGCCTTTAAAAATAATAATCCAGAAGTCTCTTTGGAGCAGGTTACAGGTATGTCCAAGGACTGTGTGTTCTGAGCCCAGAAAATCTAAATTATGTGATCTGTATAAATTAGGCAAATTAAGCACATCACTTTTTCTCTCTCCATAGTTTTGCATAATATATTCTCATTCTGTTAAGTCAGAGTGAAGAATAAGCCACTCCTCTGGGGACTGGCTGGACATTGTTGATTTATTTTCAAGTGTATGTTTGCGTACTCAAGGACTAGAGACTTGTTCCTTTTATTAAAATGAAATCTGAGCTCATCAGGAAGTTGAACTCTGTCTATCCCCAGAGCTGCATTTTGCATGTTTGCTCCACTTACATGGAGTTATAATATATGTGAAGTCCTAGGTATTTGCTTCTGCTTATCTACTGCTTTAGCTGTTTGTTTTTCTACACTTTCTCTGCATCCTCTCAGTGAGTATATGGAATTATAGTGGGTTTGCTTCACATTTGTTAAATCAATGCAATTTTACACACAACGAACAGGATGCAATCTGGAATGGGATTGGGGTACAAGCCTGTACTCCCTCATCTGATGTAGTTGGTAATGCACCAGTAATAAAAGAGGAACCTCTTTAGCTAGCTTGAGAATGGGTTGAGGGCATGGCTGGCTTTTCTCCCATCATGTGGCATATTGTGGTGCCTACTAAACTGCACTGCCTTTCTCAGGTCACCTATCAACTGAAGATCCTCACCACCGCTGTCTTCTCTGTGCTGATGCTCCGCAAGAGCCTCTCCCGTCTCCAGTGGCTGTCCCTTGTGCTCCTTTTTGCCGGTGTAGCCATTGTCCAAGTGGAACAACAGCAGACGGGGGGCAGAGTGACCCCCGGAGGCCAGGAGGTGCAACAGAGCTACCTTGTGGGGCTCGTGGCTGTGGTGGTGTCGTGCCTCTCATCTGGTTTTGCCGGGGTCTATTTTGAAAAGATCCTCAAGGGAAGTGCAGCGTCAGTCTGGCTTCGTAACGTCCAGCTGGGCATCTTTGGGACCTTGCTGGGGCTGTTGGGCATGTGGTCCACGGATGGGGCAGCCGTGGCTCAGCGTGGATTCTTCTTTGGCTACACCCCACTGGTGTGGGGAGTGATCCTGAACCAGGCCTTCGGTGGCCTCCTTGTGGCTGTAGTGGTGAAATATGCAGACAACATCCTCAAGGGCTTTGCCACCTCCTTCTCCATCGTGGTGTCCACCGTGGCTTCCATCTACCTCTTTGACTTCCATCTCAACCTGCTCTTTGCTCTAGGAGCAGGCTTGGTCATAGGAGCTGTCTACCTATACAGCTTGCCCAAAGGACCTTTGGCTAGCCGGTCCTTAATGGGGACGGCTATACAGCATCAGGGTCATGCAGCAGAGAGCAAAGAACTCCCTTCGGTGACAACAGATGGCTACCTGTCCAAGTCAGTGCTGGTCAATTGAGAAGAACAGACCACATCTTCTGAACCTGTGGCTGGTTTTTTTTGTGAAGCTTTCTTAACACTTGTTCCCCCCATCCTGTCCTGCCGTTCCACCCTCTACTTCTCTCCTGCCCTGTGGCCACCTCGGCTCCTTTCCTCCTTGTCATCCCCTTGCCTTTTCTTTGTCCTTGAGTTTGTGCTGATCAGGTCCCATTACCCTTTAAGCTCACCGGACAGCTCCTTTCTTCTCATTAATTGGTTTCCTCTCCTCATTAACTGGACCTGTAGTATACAACTAATCTGTACTCCCCTTCCACCTTCTTCTGCCGTGGCCAACTCAAGTTGCCCTGTTCCTTTCAGATCCTTCAACTTTTATATCTGTTCCCCCACTGTCCTTATTCAGGGACACTCCCTGCCCCAACAAGAAGCAGAGGAAGAGTATGGCTGCTTTGGGATCAGCCATGTCCTTTGCCCCCCCCCCAAACAACCCCAAAACATCTGTCTAGTTTGGGCAGTGCAGAGAAAATTTACAAAGAGGTGTATTTTTATATGAACACTTTGAATGAAGGATTGAACTGTAGTCGCAGTGCGTAAGGGGGTGGGCTGTACTCTGTGGGGAATTACTTGCTCTTTGTTGAAGATATCTACTGTGAAACTAAACGAAGTCGGTTTCAAGTGGGAGAGATAGAACTAGATCCCTGTGTGTGTATCTGAAATTGGGGGAAGTCAGGATTGTCTGCTGGGTATGGAAACCAGGAATGAGTGAGTGGGCTGCTAGGAGGTCCTGGTTCAATTCTGACTGAAAATCTGAGTGTCTGTGCAACCTACTAGATTACAGGAGAATGGGGGCTGGATGTGCATCATCATTTCTTGCCACCAGCCTGAATTTGGTATCCTTAGCACTTGAGGATCCTTGGGGCAGGGAGGCATAAAGCACTAGATATTAATAAAGGTTTTGCAACGAGGGAAGACTTGGCCAGATGAAAGCACAAGCTAACTCTCTCCTTTAACATATGAGGCAGTTGGACTGAAACTGTAGCAATGGCGACGAAAACATGCTATTTGGACAGGGCTGCTGCCTGTGGACAAAGTGTGTATGAAGTTAGACTTGTATCAGGTGGAGAACAAAGGGAGGAAAGAAACCCTTCAATGCCTTCCTATGTAAAGGGGGGGGGGTCCTTGGAAACCAAGATTTGTATCCTGGCCCCTCTGGAACAGAGTGGCATCCACTGAGAGTATCTATGCATCAGGATGCTTCCTGCTACTGACAGCTGATACCAATCTGCTGCTTTCATAGATCACAGAGTGGATCCAGTGTGCGTGTTTCAATGTGTGTCTAAACTGCCACCATGATTCCTGGCCAGCTTGCAGGTGCACCATGTATCTATGGCCCATTAAGGTGAAGGCAGCCGTACATGTCTCATCTGCCACGTGCTTCTGGCGTCGTATGTCCGAGTGGGCATCTAGTCCAGCAGTGCCTTGTGAGGTGCTCGCCACGGCGGTTGGGCTGCAGTCAGCTTGATGGTTCACATCTTGTGCAGATTTGAACTGAAACATGATGGAAGGGGAGTCAGGCAGTGTCCATCGTGGTGCCTCAGTTTCTATCCTCTGTTAACAGTCGCGTGAGGGTTGCTAGGATTTAGACTGCCTTTTTCCTAAACGCTTGTGATTCTGTGTTGCCTGGCTGGTTGCGATATTGGGGTACTGGGCAGTACTAACCCTAGATGTGGGGTTTAGGTGTTAGGTGTGGAGGTTGGTGGTTTTCCCCCCCTGTTCTGGCTGGGCTGGGATGAGAAGATTATGAAAAATAACACTGTGTTAACTGGGTTTTGTTTTTTGTTTTTAGATTTGCTGATCATTTTCTACAAATTCTGCTTTTTTAAAAGGAGAAAAACAAAGAGCCTGTACTGTTTGCCAATGTACATAAACCACAGATGAATAAAGAGAGTGTATTTATTTAGCCTTATTGCTGAATGATTGAGGCAACCTTGGAAAGGAGGGGAGGGTCTTTGTCTCACTCACTGCATGTCTAACCTTATTAACACTGGGAGGGGCACTGGGTTTGAGGGCGGGGGTAAGGGTGGTCTTTTGCTCCTTAGATGTGTGGGCTCAGGATCAAGCTGCAAAGGAGGCAAACAGGAAGCGGCTGGTTTTTGAGTCAGGACATGGAGGACAGTCCCTTCTTAAAGCAGAGATTTAGCCTTGGATCTCCCCCTCAACCCAACCAGAGGGCTGTCTCACCATGGGCTGGGTGTGAGCAACTTTTCCTCATCCCACAGATTTTTCCTCTTGGGGAACAAGAGTAAATAGGGCTGGGCTGCCTGCTGCTTAAATCCATCCAGATTCATTGCTTCCTCAGGTCTATATTGAGGAATTGTTTAAAGGGATGTCCTTGGGTTTTATATTGACACATCTGAGAAGAGACATGCTCTCACATAGAAGCAATGGGAGATCTTGAGGCACCTTAAAGACAGTGAAATTTCACTGGTCTTAAGCTTTCGTGGGCTGCTGCTGCTATCTTTTACGTCGCATAAATAGTGTTCATCTTTAAGGTCCCACCAGACTGTGTTGCTTTTGCTACATTAAGCTACCGTGCATCCTTGGAAAAGTCTCTTGTGGGAGAGATAAGGGGGAAGGTCTCTTCTAAGTCCTACCAGTACTCGCTTTGGTAAGTAAGGTTAGTGAAAGTCATTAACTTGAAAACAAAGGGGGGAAAACCTGTCCAGTTAATTGGGAGTACTCTTCATCAAAATGTTAATTGAATCAATATTGCAGCTGTAGACTAGCAAGTCAACATTTTGTTTAAAAAATGTAAGATATCAGTTAAGATAAGAAGAGACTGATGCCATATCTCTGATTCAGGCCAGCATCAGGTCTTGGCTTGTGCTTGGGCTGAAAGAGAAGTGACACATCAATTCCTTGTATATATTCCACCAGTTTTTCTTTATCAGGACCAGATTCCCCCCCCACCTCCTTTTTTAAAATGTATGTTGAGATAGAGCAATTTCAATAACATAAGCTATTAATATACCAATTCTGCCATGCACTTTCATGGACTTGTACCTATTTAGTCCCTAAGAGAGCTTTTCAGGATGACTACACATAAAAACCCATGTGTTGCTGCTGCTTTCCTCAGATTTCAACCCCCTCCCCTTCTCAATAGCAATTCAGTCCTGGACTGTCAGAAGATGCTTCTGACTTTGAAATTTCTGGTATCTATCTAACTGTAAATCTGCATTCGTAACATTTTTATGTTTTGGTCCTTTCTCCTCCTCCATCACTGCCTTGTTCAGACAGTACATATTGGCGAATGGGATAGAGAAGCTGCTTCAGGATAAGTAGGACCAGATTGTTAGGAGAGTGATCTAGTCAGTTAACTAACACTTTCTGCTCAAAAAGCTGCAGGGCAGACTTTAGCAGAGGAAAAGCACATTCTGCCATGTTTCTCTGAGAAAGAAGAGAGCGTAAAAGAGGGCATGTCCTCATGTTTCCTAAGAGTGGCACATAACAAGGTGTTTTCCTGTCGCGACCTTGGTTATTGGACACAAGGGAGCCCGATGGAAAGCTCAGGAAAGCTGGGCTTCCAGATATTGGAAAAACTGCATGTTTGGATGAAAACCTCCAACATTCCCCAGTCAACATGGACGCTGGAGGGATTGTGGCCTTTGTCTAAAAAAAATAGATGACTGCACTTTCCCAGGCTCTGCTCTGGTCACATCACTAGATTGGGGAATCCATTGACTATAGATTGTGTCTTTTGCTGGGCCCAGTAGCTGAGACTGGAGGTGGCAGAATCACACTGTTGACTGTTCATCTGTAGGGCAGATTCTCTGAAGAGGTGAAGCTCTGTGATGAAGGGCCTGTTCTGCCTCCAGAGGGCCCCAGATGCTATTCCGAGCATCACTAGTTCTGCCCGGGAAAGGCTGACATGCTGGAGAGATGCTGGTACCGTGTTGGCAATACAAAGCTAGACCGTCTGAACTGGCATAACAACAACTTGAAATGTTGCTTTCTTGGACTATACCTCTGAATATTTCCCAGCTTTTTTGGCCTCTTTTTAATATATGTATATATATATATAATATAAAATATACATATATCTTATATATTCTCCTTATGGGGAGAAAGGTGACATATAAATAATTTAATGTACATGTATATAATTTAAGTTATTATATGTAAAATTATTTATATGTTAAATTATTATTTTAGTTATTATTTTAAATTTATTGAAATCATTTGTTGCTTTTCTCCCCATAGGACAGAAAGTTTAACCCTACATTGAGAGAGGGTGGGGAGAGTATGAAGCATAGATTCCAGTCATACAGTTCCCCCATTCAGACTGGTCTAATCCAGGAACAGTGATGTTTCTGTACAGTCGGAAGCATCCGTTCTCTCTTTAAAGAACCTGCTGCAGGCAGGTTCTTTAAAAATAACAAATGTAAAATCAAGAAGCATGTAGTCGTTCAAAAATTTGAGATTCCCTGATGTGGATTTTTAAAAAAAATCAAGGTATACAGACAGCCCAGAAACTGTTTACATAATGCTATATTTTCTGTGAGTTTCCACAACTGGAATGCATAAGAATTGTTATCCTATACAGATTTTGTAATCCTATGCATTGCTACCACTTTTATTTTAAAGCCAAGTTTTGGTCTTTATAATTACCAAAACATTAAAGAGTGTGAGCAATACTTCATGAAAAGATGTACCTCTTGTGGAAAATAAGCAAAGGTGTATACATTTGCTTAATTGGCATATTTATTTTCATATTTATACATAGATTCTCTCCTTTTAAAATGTTACAGTTGCTTTTAATAAGTGCTCCATTTAAACGCTGATGGCATAACAAAAACTACAGCCCTTCAACAGGAATTGTTGGGTTGGTGTGCATGTGTATTTGCCTGGATATGCAGGATCTGATTTATGTTAGTCAGAAGTGTTTAGAACTGCCCACTTTGTCCAAAGGAAACACCATCTATGACTACCCTGTGTTGGCTGATCACTGTGTCTATGCCGTTTGTGATGGAGATGGAACATATTGGATTGTACCACAGTAAAAGGCCTGAATTAGGCTAATGACATGCTCACATCCCTATCCCTTAAAAAAAATCACCACAGAATTTGTCATTTCATTTAAGAGGAAGGATGTTTCTAGCTCCCATGGTTAGACAGAGGAAATTGGATGTGCAGTGGACAGATAGTGGTGAAGGCTCAGGAAAGTGAGGAGATTTCCATGGCTATTTGTAGGCCTCCGGGTAGTTCCTAGCAGGGCTCTGTGCCTTAAGAAAACCCATATCCATACACAGTAGCAAGCACAGAGGGAAACTACTATGTTATTCAGATTGTTGGAATTTATCTACCCTATCCTGAATAATTACATTATTCAGACTTTTGGAATTCAGCTTCTATATTGGTTATGCTCACTGGAGGTGATGTGGTTAAAATCCACAACAGCTTGAGAGACATGGGTTTCTCACTCCCGATTGGTGGAGAAGGCTTGTTACTTCTGTTTTTAAGTCAGGAATCCTTGATCTACTACAGATCACCCAGAAGTCTAGCTTCTACCCATTCCTGATATAAATGATGGGCAGAATGCTCGGTTCCTCCATGTTCCAAAAGAACACATTTATCAAGACAGGGACGTGGTGGCACTGCAGGCTAAACCACAGAAGTCTCTGTGCTGCAGGGTCAGAAGACCAGCAGTCGTAAGATTGAATCCACGTGACGGAGTGAGCTCCCGTCGCTTTGTCCCAGCTCCTCGCCAACCTCGCAGTTCAAAAGTATGCAAATGTGAGTAGATAAATAGGTACCACCTCAGTAGGAAGGTACAATGGCATTCCCTAGTCACACTGGCCACGTGGCAACGGAAACTGTCTTCGGACAAACGCTGGCTTGAAAAACGGGATGAGCACCGCCCCCTAGAGTCAGACACGGTTGGACTAAAAATGTCAAGGGGGACCTTTACCTTTAATATTTCTTACACCGGTATCCGTTTGCTCAAAGCAGTGTAAATGGCTTCCCTCTTTACATTTTACACACTCAACCATCTTTGGAGTCACACTATATTTTAGCCTACGAATATATTCCTAAAAGCCACCCTGCACTGGCTTGAAGGACTTGGTGTGCAATGTTACATTTCAGCCTACCTCCCAGCTACTGTAAAGGGTTGTTCCCAATATTTTAATTCTAAACAAGGTCTCTTACCAGAACTGACCAGCTTGGGGGCAGCTGGTGCTTCCAGCAGACAACCAATCCAGCAGGTCTCATTTTTCTCTTAGTTCAACCAGTTTTCCCCCTTTTTTTCTCCTAGGATCTCAGCTAAAGAAAAGGGCTCTTAAGGCATAATTGGAAGCAGCCTGCAAGACTCCAGTGGCATTTCAGCAACGGTACCCACCCAAGCTCAACATTGAGACGACACTTCGACATTTCATAGGAACCTTGTAACGTTTACAGGCTTTGCGAGATCTCCCTTGAGATGCTAGACTTTTGGCTTGGCCCGATCCGAGGCCTGGCATACACAGTTTGGATTCGTGGACCTGTACATCTTGACGCCCAATTTCACTTTGCCTTGTTGCCAGCTTTGCATTGGTAGAAATCACACAAAGCAGTTGCAGCATTAAGCAGTGGCTTCCCGAGTGTGACTGGACCATTACAGAGGGACAAGTAGCTACTTAGATATTTTTGAAAAAATAAGAGCAACACCTATGATTGTTTCTTTATTTCAGTAATCCTGAACTCTGAACTTGCACTTTGTGAGAAGCAGGCACAATTGTTTTTGCCCGCCCTCCATTTTAGGACTGTTGCAGATGGCAGCATTTGGGATAATACCTACCTTTTTTTCTCCCCCTTTCCCTGCCTTCCCTTTGCTTAACATCTAGCTTGGCGGCAACCTGAAATCTTCCAACAGTGTAGTATTTTGATTGGCCTTGAGACTGGCATTCCTATTGCAATTTATGGGATTTCTTTTTTTCAGGGGCCAAACACACCCATCTGTGCTTTTGTAGAAGCCATCACAGCTTCAAGGCCGAAGGCAAGACTTGTCTGACATCTTGGCCACAATGCTTTTGGGTGACATCAGTTCAAGGTCAGAGACGCAGATACCAGGGCTTAAGGGAAGGCTCACAAAGGCCACATTTTCCTGGTTGCTTGCACTCTGTGACACAAGAAGACCTGCAGCGAACAGCACTGTCCAAAAGTTCTGGGTGTAGCAGCTCACGTGGCAAGCTAATACTTGATGTCGCTGTACTCCGATTAAGAGGAAATATCCGCTTGTGAATCAGTGTTGGGAGCGTGGAACTGCCTAGTAATTGTTCTTCACTTCATCTCAGATGAAGCCATTTTTTTCGGAAGCTCAGAGACCGCCACCAGATGAGTTCCCAATCTGGTACCAAAATATATCTTGCTCCTGATACAGAGAGCAGAAACCATAACAATCCACGCAAGCCCCAACTCAGAAATGGGAAATGTGTGGCCAGCCAGATGTCAAACTACAACTCCTATCATGTGCCCTTATTGGTGATACTGTGAGGAGCAGAGACTGTGACCCACAGCATCTGACCACACCTGCTCCTCTTAAGCTTGCCACTGCTACCTCAGTATGTATGCTTATTTCCCCCAACTCATGCGAGATGAATGGGGGAGGAAGGATGTCTATTACCTACTAGGTCATAATGGCACTCCTACCCTCCCACCCATGGCCATGTGGGGGGCCGTACCGTCATGCTCAGTATTAATTTTATTATACACTGTTGAAAAGGGTCCATGTTTTGGAACCAGCATATTCTAATTTAAATACTCACTAAACTGCATTTTCTACTATTAAATATATATATCTTCAGAAAGTAATATAGCTTTGTAAGCAAACAGACTGAGTGTGGTTCCTTAGAGCTGAATGATCATGACTAGACATTTGGGGAGAAGAAAATTTTCTAAGATACCCAAGACTCTAGAGAGGGGCAGAGAATGTGTGTAGTCTACCCTCAAGGATGGGATCAGAATGAGCAGAAGCTACCAGAAACTCTTCCATATGGGTCAGTGACCCAATGCTGATAAGATACAGAAAAATGGGAGAAGCAGATGTCATTGTGGGGGGTACTGAACATTCTAGGAAGACACAGGGATTGCCTCTCTCAGAGCAACACTGTTCCAGTTTTCTTTCTGTGACGGCAAGAAGGTGGCAGGATGGCATGTAGGCAGGGCTAGGGGCCCATTCTCTTCAGGAACAGAAGGAAGAAACCTACACTAGCCTCCCTGGCTACAATGCAGCAGTGCCTTCGGCAGGCCCAATGCAGGACAGACAAGTATGTTCATGTACCCCCCTCTTCAGCCAGTAATGAGTGGTTATTGGCACCAACTAAAGTCACTCAGAAGGGACGTGGTGATGCTGCAGATTAAACCGCAGAAGCCTCTGTGCTGCAAGGTCAGAATACTAGCAGTCGTAAGATCGAATCCACGCCACAGAGTGAGCTCCCATCTCTTGTCCCAGCTCCTGCCAACCTAGCAGTTCGAAAGCATGTTAAAAATGCAAGTAGATAAACAGGTACCACTACAGTGGGAAAGTAACGGCGTTCCGTGTCTAGTCGCGCTGGCCACATGACCACGGAAACTGTCTTCGGACAAATGCTGGCTCTATGCCTTGGAGACGGGGATGAGCACTGCGCCCTTGAGTCGGACATGACTGGGCTAAATGTCAAGAGGAACCTTTACCTAAAGTCACTCAGAACATATTTTTATATAGATTTATTAACAAATAGGTAAGAGAAAACGGGTGGGGTGAGGGACAGACATCTCAGTCCTGCTGCTTGGCCCGGGAAGCTTCAGCATTTGCACGCAAGACAGCGCCGGGGCTTGGATATGGTCGCTGCTGGAACAGGGGGCCAGCTGCTGTGGTATCTGCCCCAGTCTTGGCTTCATTTCGCTTGGGCAGTCCAGTGGACCAGGTACCCCTTAAGACAGGGAAAGAAAGTTAGAAACAACTTGCTCCCCCACCCCCGCAACAGATCTCCCACATTGCCTGGTGCCCATTCTTGTTTTGGACCTCTTTGGCCCAAGCTTCTGCTTGATTCCTTGCTGAATGACAACATGCCCAGGGCCCTGCCTTCTTGCTGGTCCTGCAAAGCAACTTGGATTACCATTAGACTTCCAAGATTCTGCACAGTGTCCCAAGACACCACTCAAGGCCATACACAGTACAGTTTTATTAAATATGATTGCTGGGCTACAACAAGCTCCAAAGATCTTGTGCTTTTAAAAGTTTCTAGACCCTGTTAGTTCTAAAGCTACTCCTGAAAGGGCACTGAAAATGCTTGCCGAGATCTAGAAAGGACAAGACAGACTCACTGTTGAGTCTGACAAAACAGCAACAATATGCACATGTGAGCTGCCCTATTCCAAGACAAACTAGTAGGCTATTTAACCCAGCACTGCTTGTTTAAGGCCAATGAGGAAGAATAGTCTGCCAAGCAGAAATACATTAACCTGAGGTTCTGGAATATGTCAGGTGCATGCAGCCAGCAATGAACTGCAAGCATCCCTCCACACCTGTTCATTTCTCTGCCACAGCACAAAAACTGAAGCCACAAGTGCTGAGCTGTTCCATTCTCCCATTTTGAGCATACTCACCGGGGAGCATCTGAATAAGCACTGGGGTCCATGGGGTCAAGTTCTTCATCCTTTCGGTTTGCTGTGGAGGACAAGATGGCAAGAGATATGGGATCATCCCTCTAATTCCTCTCACTTCCTACAGCAGAGGTAGGAATGCGCTGCCATTTAGGTCTGCAGGTGTGGATCTGTGGAACAACTAGAAGTCTGCCTGGTGAATTCTGGGAGTTAGAATTTAAAAACACACATGCACACACAAACACCAACCGAACTCGAACGACACATTTCTAATTGGAACCATGCAACACTCAGGCATTTTTGTAGCTCTGATTAGGCCTCCTGGAAACCATGACCCTTAATTTTAGTAATAACTGAGGGGAAAAATATGTAAGGCAAATATTTTGCTTGTTTTCAATGGCTTGCAGTAGATTCCTGTTCCTCTTGAATTTCAGTGGTAAATGCCCTTGAAATCAAATATAATGCTTGTTTTAAATTGCATCCTCTCCTCCACTGCTGCTGTATTTGGCAGGGGGAGTTGCAGCCCACAAGAGGTTGTATGGGTAACAATCAGCTCCTAGACCCACTGCCCGTTCCTACCTCATAAGGCTTCTAAGACCAAAAGGAGCTCAGAAGTCCTGCCTCAAAAGAAGAGGGAAGAAACATGGGACATTTTTCATCAGCCCAACCAAGGCCGAGGGGACCCACCGTCCAATTGGATCGGGCAGACCACACTTTCACCTCCCGGCCTCAACCATGTGGCACATCCAAGAAAGAGGCTCCCAGGTTCTGAATCAGTCAAGAAGAGGCCACAGGAGAAAGGCAGCTGGACTTACATTTCTTGCTTTTGGGATATGGGGCCAGTTCCTCCCGTCGGTGATAACGGCGTTCCTTCACTTCTTCCCGCTCCACTTTCTCATGGGGGCGCTCAGTTTTTTCCTCAGCATCTAGAGTAGATGTATGCAGATTATGTTGATGTGTGTCAAATCCTGACCTTCAATATCCCCTCATTCCCACAGACTTGAAGCAGAGGGGCAGGAGCCTTTCTTGGGAAAAATGAAGGGAATTTCCACACGGACATCTGCTGGCGGCCTTGGGAACTCCCCAACACAGAGGCAGAGAGTTACCTGCCATGAACTGGAAAGCTTTTAAAAGTGGATTAAGCCAGAAAGTGTCATGTTACCAGATATAAACCATGTCTCATCGTGAGAGTCCTCATGATAGAAACCCAGATGAGCAACAGTGGATGTTGTTACTCTACAAATCCCCCGTCTCCTTGTTAGGCAAATCTCAGTTCTGTTCTGTCCCTCTTGCACATGACATTCTGCCATATTGACTGCAAAAAGACTGTGTGGCCCTTCGACAATAAGTCCCCACCATCCTTAGCACGGCCAGTGGGGAAGGATGACAGACACTGTAGTTCAACAGCTAAAGGCTGACAGATTTGCCCATTGGAGACAACAGCATAGATCCCGTTCAATCTTTCCGCACATGGAACTCAAACCGTGGAGCCAGGTTGTGATGCCAGTTGTGTGGCTGGTCATGCATGGTCAGCACTTGGTCAAATCTCCAGTATATACACTGGGCTATGCATTTCAGCCTCCAGGTCCTGGTCCTGTAGCAGCCAGCAATCAGAAATCACTTACTTCCCCAAAGTCTTGCAAAAGAAAGAACTAGCCAAAAGATGGTTCTAAATGCAAGGATGGCAAGGAGGTGCGAATACACAACTAGGTCTCTGTTCTTCCAGCCCCACGTACAACCTTGCCTTCCTCTTGAATTCCACCACCTCTTCAAACTGGAAATACATAATTCACTCTCTAGGGACCAATGCAGGTAATGAAGACTCCAACCACCAAAAGACAGCTCAGTTACAGAAGAGCTGAGAAGATGTGTGTCCCTCTCGATCAGTAGTTTCCAACCTTAAGTCCCCAGATGTTCCTGGACTAAAACTCCCCGAAGCTTTCACCATTAGCTGTGCTGGCCAGGATTTCTGGGAGTTGTAGTCCAAGAACACCTGGGGACCCATGGTTGGGAACCACCGCTCTAGACATTGGCAGACACCAACTCCAAGCAACCCCAAACACCCTGCCAGTGAATGAAAAGGAAGCCCTTCTGTCCCTTCCGAAAGATCCCAATCTTGCTTTCTTATCCTTGTTCCCAGCTGCTCAATGACAATCCACTTAAACTGACACAAGCAAAACACAGGCAACCTCACCTAAATTATTCTTCAGTTTCTTGGCTGCTTTGGTCACTACAGAGTTGGGATCGTTGGGCGAGAGCCATGAAACCAGATCGGTCTCTATGTTCCAGTAGTAAGGGAGGCCGCTAGGAAGAGAAGGATTTATTTATTTGAGTCCATAGTCATTGCCAATATTTCCAGACCAAGAGCTCTTGGTAAGGAACCTTCCTTCCCTTGCAACTAATGTTTCCTCTAATTTTCCGAAGTGCTGGGGGGGGGCAGGCTCACCCCATGCATGTGTGATTTTAGCCACAACCAGAAGCAAATGGGTAGCAACACTGGCTCAGCTGCACAGCCCTGATGCAACACTGTGCAGCTTAGAGGGAATGCTGCTTGCAACGTATGTGTATCCTGTTATAGATTTAATTCAAATTGGGGTTTTGTCTGCTTTTTTGTTTAATATCTTAGTTATTGGTTACTGTTGATTTTTGGTTTGTGTTGTGGATTTTAGTGCAAGCCACCCAGAGTAATGGCCTGGCCACCACTAGATGGATGGGGTAAAATCTGAATGAAATAACATAAATAAAAAATAAAACATATGTACTCTAAGCTTGAAAAAAACTAATACAGTAGTCCAAAACAGTTACTCCTACACATTCTGGTGGTGCCTTCCCATTGTTGAGCACTGGCACCAACCTTTGAAGCATAAATGGGAAGCATTCTGATTCAAAAACAATGACATGCAAGAGTGGGGAAACACCAAACTCTGGCTATTCTCCTCGTTCTTACCAGATGGGGTCAACAACTTTGTACCAGTTTGGTGGCAGGTTCTCAATCCTCGTGGCTTCATAATCAATATGATCATCATCATAATCTTCAGCAATGATTTCCTCCTCTGGCTCTAATGGAGAAGGCAACAAGGAAGGAGGTCAGGCTAGAAAGAGTTGGCAACTTAGGGCAACCTCCTGATAGGCAGAGAAGTCCCCGATCTGACCAAAAAGCTAAAGAAGCTGGCACTGGCTTGCTCTCATCCTTCAGCAGCTCTGAAATACAGACGACATTCTTGCTTTCAAATGTGGAATGGAGGCAGGAAATCTGTCGCTCTCCAGCTGGCAATAAGGGACTCTAATCAACCTTGGCAGAGCAAGTGGGAACTAGAGTTCAACATCTGGAGAACCACTGGGTCTCTCCTCCCACTGGTTTGCCCCTCCCTGCCTTGCCAAAGTCCTGCCCATACAACTCTTCTCTTGCACGCAAAGGATAGGTCTATACTTACCAGGCTCTACATGCTTCAGCAGGCCTCGCCTAGCCAGGCGGGATTGCAGGGCCACCGGGAGTGGCATTGGGGACAATCCAATGAGGGGCAAACAGACAAATCTCTCTTCAGCACCCTCTCCTGTTCCTGAGCCAGCAGAGGAAACAGCACATATATTACACATTGTTCTTGTCACCAGCTTCAAGTACTGTCATTTGCTTTCCCATTTTACAAACATAACTCGTACACTTCCCAGCCATACTTTTCACACTCCTTCTCCTTTCTTTCGACTATGCACCTCTCTTCGGATCCATGTGAAGCCTTTAATGGCATTTTCTCGCCCACAACCTTCCAACCCTCTGGGTTTGGTGGCAAGGGCTGCCTCATGTGCTGAGCTCCCTGACTTAGTCCACGTCCTCTAATAGGAACCTCTGTGAGGAAAGGAAAGGAACCACCAGCAGTCTCGGCCAGCAGCAGAGGGGAAGACATGAAGAAGAAAGCTGTCTGCACAAATGGATTCAGGGTCTGTCTGTGCCTGTTAGCTCACAAGCCAATTTTCTTACTCCTCCCCACTCCCTTCTTGCAGATAAGCCATGTAATTTCTCCTCTTCTCATTTTTACGACCATCTCCCCCATACCAACATGGGCAGACCAAGCCTTCTTCTGTTGACAGATCACCTCCGCAAAGACTCACTTCTCTGGGGAGGGGCTGTTCTCCACTCCAACCTCTCCTCTGTCTTATCCAAAAAAACGATATCATAAGCTCAAGAAAGAGGCCCTGGGTCTTCTCCTGCAACCTTTAGTTAGGATGAAGAATCCTTGATTTGGATTTCGACTTCCAGAAAGCCCAGGTGGTCTCGGATTTGGAAAGGGACTGTTAAGAGCTGGAGTTTCTGCAGCATCAGGTGTGCCAAACGTTTCTCATCCCACCCTAAGCAATCTTTGCGAAAGCCTAGTACTGTACAACTATTACCTATTTAGCAAGGGATCTGACTCATTTTATTGAAATTGTGCTGGGTTCAGTATTGCTTTTGTGTTGTGTGTCGTTCCGGAGCACTTTGGAGAGAAGAACCACATAGAAATGAAAATGATAAATAAATAATTTACCAGTTTCATGATTTTTTTTTTAAATGGTTTCCTTATTGTTGTTCTTCCGCTAGTGCGGTCAGTCCTCCTTAAGGAAGGCCAGGTATAAACTGAGTACACCCACGCAATACAAGTTTTTAAACAGTGCTGAATGTGGCAGGCTGGGAGAGGGGTTCTACTCAATTTCCTCCTCGCAGCATCAATGGGACATCTCTCTAACAGGTCCTTTAGGAATCATAACCTCTCAGGTCTGTTGCTCATCAAGGGGGTACTTTCAGGTTAGGGACTGAACACCGTGGCGTGGGGAATCCCGTGACAAAACACTCCTCCATCCTGGGGGGGGGGCCCCAATTTCCTCCGCACAGCATCAATGGGACATCTCTAACAGGTCCTTTAGGAATAATAACCTCTCAGGGGGTACTTTCAGGTTAGGGACTGAATACCGTGGCGTGGGGAACCCCGTGACAAAACACTCCTCCATCCTAGGGGGGGAAAAAAACTAGGCTGCTTGCATAAAAACATGTAGTCTATTAGCGAGCGGCAAAGAGATCTAAGGCAGCTTCCAAGTCATGCTACCTTTCTAAGGGCAGGGATTTAGCTATTTACTTATTGATGCTGGAAAGCTGCTTACACGAAAGCACAATCCCAAACCCCTCCTTCTGATCCCGGCCCAGGACTCCCAACTTCTCATGGCCCTCAAACGGCCGCCCGCAACTCCCCCTTTCTCCCTCTCACCGTTTCAGGCATACCTGCGGAAGCCCCCACCTCACGTTCACATCACCCGAGTCGACGCAATTTGTTTGGCCCTAAAAAGCCACCGTCCCCGAGTGACTGGCCAGCTTCCCTGCCTCTACACGTGACCCGCTTCGGCCAGCCAATCCACAATCGCATCTTCCTACTCGGCCTCTTTCGACCTTCTTCCTTCTCGCGGCATTTGACAGTTAGATAAGAAAAACTCACCAATCCCATGAAAGGAATCACATGAAGGAACCGCCTCCACCAATGCCCTCTCGGCTTATCAGGGACGAGCTTCCTTTTCTCTAGGGAGGTGAAGAAAACAGCGCCCCCTATAAAGTAGCCCTTGAACGCCCGCCTTCCCTTATCCCTTGATTGGTCAATGTATAGACACCCCGAGATATGTATAAATAGAGAGAGTGATAAATGGGCGCCTAAAAATCTCTATCGGCACTTCCGACCGGTGCAAACGGAACACTCCCCCCACCCACTCCCTAGATGTCACGTTAGCATAGAGAGGCCTTCCGCGACAGGGATGCTGAAGGGAACTATGCATCTAGTTACGGCTTGCATTTTCTTTCCTTTTTAAATCCCCGAAATAATTGTCACTCTAAATTTTCCTATCTCTAGGATGTGGACGCCCAATAGAGGGGGGAGGGGCTTTGGCTCAGTTTCCTAGCGCCGGTCTTCTTTCACGTGTTTCGAGCCGTCCAATCGGAGGGGGGGCTTTACGTCATCCAGGCGGGCTTTTTGCAGTGTCACGTGATCCGCAGAGCGTACGGTTGGGAGTTATGGAGGAATATGCCCGAGAACCCTGGTAACAGGACTTTCGGGGTGGGGGTGGGGGGTTGGAAGCCAGTCGCTTTCTCCACTTGTTTCCTTTATAGTGCGGGCGGGGCTGGTAGCGGTTGGTCTTGCCTTCAACTTCCACGAGGCTGTGTGGGAATGGAGCTGCTGTTAGAAGTCTGTTCTGTTCTCCTATGTCAGCCTTAATAATACTGTGCTTGGTGGTAGCCCATGAATTGGGTTAATTACAGCATCGGAATCCCGCCTCGTCCACCAACAGAGATGACGAGGGAACGTGTCTGTTTGTGGTGGGATAAATCACCTTTATCCCCACTCTCCCTGGCAGGTAGAGGCAGAAATGGGCAAGGGAATGACTGGCACAGACGCACCCCCACCCGAGCCTCTCTCTCTCTCTCTGACAAAAACAGCACCACCATCTTGCCGACCCTGAAAGGTCAACTGATTTATTTCAGGCTCAATTTTTGTGGATAGTGGTCCACTTCCGCAGACTTGTGGAGTGAAATACTTACCTACAGCTTCGTATGCATTGTGGGGGGGCAAGGAGATCGAGTGATGAGAGGTACAGGCACAGAATGTGGCTGCCTAGTGGGTTCCATAAGTGAGAAGCCCTTTTTAAACCCACCCGGTCTCCTCAGTCCAGGGCACTGGTTCTTAACCTTGGGTTACTCAGGAGTTTTGGACTGCAACTCCCAGAAGCCTTCACCACCAGCTGTCCTGACTGGGGTTTCTGGGAGTTGCAGTTCAAAAGCATCCGAGTAACAAAGGTTGGGTCTCCTCAGTCCAGGGCACAGGTGGACAACTTATGGCTCTCCAGGGCCTGTGCCTCATTTCACATCACTTCTCCATGCTGTTATTGCTGGCTGAGGATGACAGGAGTTGCCCTCCAGTGACTGAAGAACAACAGCAACACTGTAATTCTTTAAACAATAGAAAACCTACATGAATATTAACAAGACTCAGAATTTTAAATAGTTTAATTTTGTTTTCAAGTAGGAAATACTTCACACCAAAGAACCCCCCAAAAAACGCAACTGAATGTTTTAAAAGAAGCAGCAAAATCCTGTAAAGCCTCTCTGTCTTGCCTGAGATTAAATCGCAAAGATCTTTGTAAACAGTAGGAAAAGGTAGCTCAGGATTTGCCATTTTTCTAGTGGACTCTATTAATTTTCTTTCTTTTTCCACTTGACAGTCCATGGCGGATTGTGGATGACTGTGGGGGTGCCTTCACCATGGGGATGATTGGTGGAGGTGTCTTCCAGGCTGTCAAGGGCTTCCGCAATGCTCCAGTGGTGAGTCCCAATCCTTAGAAGTCTGTTTTGTTTTTAGGTTTGTTTGTTTTTAACACCCCAAAAGCAAGAGATCACACAGAGTTCAAATCTACTTGCTTCTGCCTTAGGATTGCTATTGTCTTGTAGTTTTTACATTCACGGTACAAATATTAGCTTGCCTTTTAGGGTCATTGAAAGTAACCCTATAGTGTTGTTGTTCTTTTAGCTGTGAAAAAAGGAGATCATATAAATGATAATCTGCTTTGATTTTTTTAATGAAAAAAATTTGGTTTGTAGAAATTGTTGCATATGTTTTGGGTTTTTTGTCTCACACCATGATATAGCTGTTGTAGATAAGCTGTGAAGAGATAACGCCAAGGTTTAGTCCATCTTAGGGTTGGATTTTAACATTTGGTCTTTGCCAGCTCTGTGATTCTGCCACTACAAGTGCCACTCGTTAAGGATAGCTTTTTATTTCACCTGGAGTAATTGCTCATTGGCAGTTCCACTCTAGCCATCTGAACCTCTGTATCACTATGGTATAGGTTTTGGGATTCAGCACCATTTTGCTAATCATCCTGCAAAAGAATACATGGTCTTTGCTGACTTCAGCATCCTTCCACTCACCTTTGCTCACAGCATGGGATAAGGGATAGTGATTTAATTGGTTTTTCAATGCTTTCAGGCCACACAGCTTTCAGGACAGCTTTCAGTAAGCAGAGAGAAAAACAATTAGCTACAAATAGAATGCAAATCTGTTAAAACAAAAACAAGATAAAATGCGGCAAGAAACAATATTCAGAATTAAAAAATCATTTCTTAAGGCCTGAAAGGCAGTTTAGAATAAATTCACAAATAAATCTAAAACTGAGACGCTAGGCTGCTTATGATACACACAAGGCCTGAGTGAAGAGAAAGCCCCAACTGGCAATGAAAAGATGGCAGGGATAATCAGGTCAAGGGAACCACTCTAGAAAGTTTGTTCTGTGACTAGAAAGGCCTTTCCTCTGGTAGTTGTACTTCATTGAGAGGCAACACTACGAGAGCCATACTTAGTATGAGAAGCAGGAAGAGAGGACCTGCTCTGCATGGTATGTGACTCTGCTGGGCAGCTGAAACTGAGACAGGTAGTTGTGGTTAGAAAATGACCATTAACAAGCACAGCCAAAAACTTGGGGGCTTTATGGTTTTGTCTCTGTGTGGCCTTTTTGTGTGTGTGTGTGTGGGGCTGCAATAACACAAGTTTGACAAATGAGGCGTACGTTGTATAGGCTCAGATATTGTCATTCTGCTGCATCAGGTTGTCGTAACTCTGCAGTTCTCTCCATCCTTCTCAATCATAAGCTATCAGCTCTTCAGGGCATAATTCTATCCCTCTGTGCCCTGATTCGTATCATGTGATGTTCTGAATGCCTCTGCTGGAGTCAAGGAAGCTGGTGTTTGAAGTGGTTTCTTCTTTTCCTTTCTAGGGTATCAGGCATCGTTTAAAAGGTAGCGTGAATGCAATCAGAGTTAGAGCACCACAGATTGGCGGTAAGGGAAGAGTCCTAAGTCATGGATGGTGGGAACTGAATGATGTGGGCATCCTAAAACAACAGATGTAGCGGAAAGAATGTGGATGGAGAGGAGTGGGATATTTTTCTCTTTTCAGGGAAGATCAAATGTAGTTGTTAGTGCTGAATGAGGACCAGGGAGACTTTGATTCAAATCTCCACTCAGCCATAAACTTGTAATATGAGCTTTGTCCCTCTTTTCCCCTCTTTCTTCCCCTCCCTCCTGCCAGGCTAGCTTAATGATTGAGAGCTGTTGTGAAAATAAAATGAGGAAAAATCCTTGCAGGGCAAACCTTGTGCTCTTTGGAGCATATAAATTGCTTTGTATTGATGAATAAATAACACAACTGTTGGTCAAAAAGAGTGGGAATTAAAGAGAAGGCTACCTGGTGGCTGAAATTCTGTTGCAGAGCTCCACGCGAGCCAGTGATGATCTCAACAGCAGTAAATTGCATTGATTGAACGCTTTTGGGGGGGGGATTTACAGTATATGCAACTTTACTGTTTTGTGTAGAAGTTGTGTGCAGTCCAATATTTATTTATTTAAAATATCCTTACCCTGCCTTTCTCTTTAAAAAGAACCCACAGCACCTTACATCATTAAAAGACAATTTTTAAAAGTTAAAAACAGCAAACATACACATGTTTAAAAGGATCAAATAACTATTGCAATAAAAATAAACAAAACCAGTGCCAAAACCAGATTCAAAACAAGGCATAAAACTATTTTAAAAACTCCTTCTAGGCAGCCAGTCATTGTAGGGAAATCCTGTTTTGCAGAGAAAGGTACATGAACCTAGCACAAAATTTGAGTCTGTGAAAATCAAATTACCTTTAATCAGCAGCAGTTTGCCACTGTTGACATTAGACGTGGAAATGTGCAACAGGATTTTAGCTGGTATATCAAAGGTTGTTTGCAGTATGTCTTTACCTAATTTTAGTTAATTCTGTCCCATTCTGAATATGTATAATGCAATCTTATATAATCCTACATATTCAGAGATACACCATACTGTGTTTGCTGAGGCTAATGCCCAGCCAAAGGTGTGCAACATGGTGACCTTCAAGGGGCTGACCCCAATAATACAAATGTAGGTGAAACAAAATTCCATCAGTTCAAGCCTTCATTTACATGTTCCCCAGTTTTTTTCTTTCTTCAGAGTAAAAACACAAGCAGTAGCTCTTACTGTCCTTCTGGAATGGAAGTTGAGCTAGGGCCTGTAATACATGGTAATTCGATGATATAGAGCAGAGGTCCCCAACCCCCGGTCCACGACCCAGCAGCGGTCTGTGGCCAATCCAGGACCGGGCCGCGGACACAGATCTTCTAGCTCCCCCACGAATGTGTTCTGCCCCTTGTGCGTGAGCTATGCTCATGCGCATGTGTGGCCCCCATGGGGCACCATCGCATGCATGTGCACAAGTGCGTTCCACCCCCTGTGAGCATGCTGTGCCCATGTGCATGAGCAGCCCCCTTGAGTGCGACATGCGCTTGCGAGTTCCATCACCACCTCAACCAGTCCGGAGTTGGGAAAAGGTTGGGGACCGCTGATATAGAGGGTTGGGAATGCAGGAAGGCCACTAGGAACACTTTTCTTTACATTTTTTGCTGTCTTTGATGCAGAGATGGTATTGTGAAGAAGGGGCCCTCTGTAGATACTGTGGATTATAGGCTGTTTATTTCATGTAATAGTGCTTGTAGAAAAGGCAAGAAACTAGCATAATATTTGAGTCAGTGAAAATGAAAACAAAAAACTGTTATTTGAAGACAATTGCAGAATCCATGGTTTTGTGGGGTAGAATGTGTCCTGCATTGGTGACTGCCTCTCCTTCTGGAGCTCTGAGCACATTGCCCTACCTATAAATTGCTTGTGACCTTGTGTAATTCTTCCCCTATCTGCTTAGTTCTTTGCCAGTAGGTTTCAGATTCTGCCCTATCTTAGTCCAGCGTGTGCATAAAACAAATCTGTATGACCAAAATCAAAAACCTGGGCTTGCTTGGCACAGAATGTTAATCTCTCTAGGTATAAATTTCAAATGCTCTCTGTCCAGCTGGGGACTCCAACTGCTTTCCTTTTTCCATCTCACAGGCAGCTTTGCCGTCTGGGGTGGGCTTTTCTCCACCATTGACTGTGGCTTGGTGAGGATGCGGGGTAAGGAGGATCCTTGGAACTCCATCACCAGTGGTGCTCTCACTGGGGCTGTCTTGGCATCACGCAGTAAGTGGTGATTCATAACCCAATAAACCTAGCACCCATGGCTTTTTTCCCCTCATCCTCTGTGGCTGGCTGCTGAACTCTATCGTTTTGTAACAGCTGTTCTTTCCCCTAGGTGGGCCCTTGGCCATGGTAGGTTCAGCTATGATGGGAGGCATCTTGCTTGCCCTGATAGAAGGCGTTGGGATTTTGCTGACGAGGTACACCGCCCAGCAGTTCCAAAATCGTAAGTCCTAACTTTGCCCTGTTGATACAGTGGAATATCTGCAAGGCAGAAGGATGGGTAACTCAGGATTCTGTTAGAAGAGTACTTCTTTCTTGGCAGGCATCTCCACGTGGAGCCCCTTGTCTGTCTGTGACATAATGTAGGGAGGGTTAGGTAGATCAGTTTGCGCAGTGGTCCGCTGGATGCTGCTTTGGGCTAGGTGACTTCCTCTTTCTAATTTTTTTTATAGAAGGAGTTCACCAGGATGCCATACAGTCCAGTACCACAGTTGCAAAACACACACTGAGATGTAGAATTTCTGGAAATTTTGAAGCCATATAAAATAGCTCTGGAAAGAAACCGGGGGGCGGGGGGGATTTGTTTTTCCTCAATTTTTCTGTTTTTCTCCAGGCTGTCCCATCTCTACTCATGGTTCCTCCAGAAATAGAGATGTAAACTTTGTGGAAGGCATATAAAACAGCTTTGGGGGAAAAATGGAAACAAACCAGTTTTTTCCTCAGATATTTTGTTCTTTTCTTCAGGCCTTCCCATCTTAACTCATGTTATATTGTCAGTAGAGATGGGAAGGCCTGGGGGACTCCTTCCCACAGGATGTGGCAATGACATCTGGCCTAGATGCCTTTAAAGTGGGATTGGACAGATTCCTGGAAGAAAAGACCATCGCAGGTTACAAGCCATGATGAGGATGTACAATCTCCAGGCTTAAAAGGAAGGCACCTCCAAATGCCTGATGCAGAGGAGGAGTAGCAAGAGACAGGTATCCGGTTGTCTCGTGTGCTCCCAGAGGCATCTGGTGGGGCCCCTGTGAGATATAGGGAGCTGGACTAGATGGGCCCTTGGCCTGATCCAGCAGGGCTCTTCTTATGTTCAACTTTATTGGGCCTCATGGCCAGTTTTGACACCAGGGGACATGTCATAAGCCATAGCCTCACAAACAAAATATTTTAATTCTCCCCCCCTCCCCAAACTAAAGTGACCAAACATTTGCTTCACTTTGAGTTTGAAAGAAACAATAGCGGAAAAAAGCCATGTTCCACAACTAAGGTAGGGCTTGGCTTTGGAATAGAATCAGTGCTCTTGAAAGCCTCCAGGAGTGCTAAGTCTGCTTTCTGCCCCCCCCCCCCCAAAATAGAAAAGAGTCAGGAAGCACAAAAACCAAGTGCAGCCTACATGGCATGTGGGCTGCAGGTGGCCTCCTCTTCATTGAGGCATAGAGGCTGCACTCCTTTCTCACAGAGTCTAGCACTCTCTCGTTCTGTTTTACAGGTGTAAATTTCACCCTGTTTTGTAGCAAGCAAATTCAGAAGCTGGGAATTCTCACTTGTTAAATAATCAGTCTCACCTGCTCCCACATCTTTCCTTCCAGCTGCACTTCGGCATCCTCTCTTGCTTTCTCTTCCCCCTAGAAAGTTGTCTTCGGCTGCCTGACCTCCTTTGCCTGTTATTCACTGTTCCTCCTTTATTTCTCAGCTAACCCCTTTGGAGAAGATCCCAGTCAGCTGCCTCCCAAAGATGGCTCACCGTCTGCAGGGTATCCAGGCTACGGACATTATCAGTGAAGCAGTTTGTGGCCAGGGATCCTTATGTTTTTGCTGGGATGGGGCAGGCATTTCCCCCTGAGTCTACCTGCGCCCCTTCACCAACACCACAAACAAACAAAGCACGCAACAGAATTGATTCTTAGAGTTTTCTTCAAGGGGGAACAGAATGTGTTCTTTTTGGAGCAGTGTATAATACCTACCTCTCGGCAGCAGGGGGCTTGGGTGCTGGAGAGATGCACCTCACGGTGAGTTCCAGGTGTGCTGAAGCAGCTGGAAATGACACTGCCACACCTCCAAACCGTAGGGTAGCTTTGCTTACTTTAGAAGTCCTGTGCGTGGGGTGATGATCCTTGACTGTGACAAAGGACTTCAGAAGGGGTCCTCCCTGACTTCCGGGTTATGGGGGGGCGGGCGGTGTCTTCTTGCTTTCTCTGTATATTGAGAGAATATCTTCCAGGTTGGCTGACAGAAATCATCAGCCGAGCAGTAGGTTGGAAAGCGGGTTACAGTTATAGCACAGAGGAGCTGTGGGGGTGTAGTGTGAACCCCAGCTCTTATTTTGCCATGATGAAGTTATATTATGCTACTTGGTTCTAGGTCAGATCTCCAAGGTAAATGCCGCTCTGGTGTGAGGGATGATCCAGAAGCTGGTGCTCAGTTCCCCATCTGTTTCTACAGTTGGCTTGAGAGTGCAAAAGCAGGGATTCCTGAAACATTTGGCAAGCCACAATGGGAACCTTTGCAGGGTGGGCTGCATTCAGCTTGGGGGGGGGGTCAAGGGTTTTGTCGGCCCGACCCAGAGCCAAGGTTTACGCTGATGACATCTTGCATTTCTCTCTGGAATCTTTAACCAAGACATCTTAGAGAGAGAGAAAGAGCAAGTCTTGCCTGCTTACAGTTTCTGTTCAGCCTGTGAAACCTTCAGCTGTAGCTCTGAAATGATCAAAGCTCTATTGTAATCCAGGATGACATAATCCCCCACATCCAAACCAAGCTGCCTCTGATCCTCAAAGAGTATTTTGAATGCCATTTAATATGTTCATGATGCTGAGCCGTAGTGGGCCAACTGTTGTACAAAGGCCAACGAACCTGGTCTGCTGCTCCCACTTGTTAAGAAACACACGCAGAGACTGTGATGATCAGTAAAATTGGATGCCTGTTAATAAAAGCAGGTCCAACATTGCGTATTCTCCAGGTCTTTGGGTTACAGTACTTACATTTGAAGCTAATTTTTAAAAGGTTTGATGTATTACATGTTACTGATGTAAATACAAACTAAATGTCTAGTTTCTGTCCTGGAAAACTTAATTAGATGGCTGCTGAAACCGGGGTTGAGGGCGGGGGAAAGGTTAGAAACATATGGGTATGTTGCATAAGGAGGGTTTTGAGCTGGTTTGCTGTCCTGCTACTAGTGAAGTGAGATAGCATTGGTCTTTTCTTCTACTAAGTGAGGAAGGCATTCCATTCCCCACAATTAAGAATCACAACATCCTTTGAAAAGTCATCAGACCCTGATCTTGATAGGAACCCAGTTGTCTGAGATTGCTTGCTGTTGCCCAGAGGACTGAGGACTGCAGTGTAGCTTCTTCTCTGTGCTTCCTGTGGTGTTTTGTGCTGCTCAGTGGCTAGAGGGGGAGTTGCATCTCTCACTACCATTTGTAGCAAAAATCTCAAAAATGTTATCAGATCTCCCTTGGTCACTTAGAAGATGAATTTTTCATTATTGCAGAATTCAGTGTCTACTGTGGATCTGAAAAGAAAACAAGGGCAAATTGTAAAATGGAGCTTGGAGTATGTCTCATCTAGCAGTCCCTGTGAACTGCCAAAAAATCTGCCGCAGGCTTCTAAGACAAGGTAGACAGTTAAGATGCCAGGAAGGTGGCATGGAACAAATTTGCTTTGCACAGAGTTCACTATTTCGGGCCAAGGGTCATGTGAGCAGCTAGTACCTTAGTAGTTTTGACACGATTTCCTAGCAGGCACATCCAGCCAGAGTTGTCGGGCAACGCTTTGCACTCTTCATCATCTAGGCAAGGCTCCATGTCACACCACCACTTTCCTGTTACAATAGAGGCTGCAGAGCAGAGAGGAGCATCAGTCTTACTGTTCCTGAGGTTATGCACCAGCAGTTCGATCTACCCCTTGGTGTGGTGGAGACCCATGATTAGGATAATATTCTGGAATATGTTTTTGTTTGTTTTAATTTGGTTTCAGAGTAAACAACCTTCTCACTTCACCCAGACTCTTGGGGCTGAAGATATTTAAGCTTAACTCTCTCCTATGCCACAGAAGGTAAAAACTGACATGCCTTTGCTTTGTGGGAATCTCAGTTTTAAAGTAAGATTTTTGTATCCTTCTCTGTTCTAAAGACATGAGGAAGGCTGCCGTATTAAGGTTAAATTTAGGCATCTGGCTGCAGAGCCAGAGGTTGGGAGTCTGATTCTTCACTCTGCCTGTCTAATAGAAGATAGACTCAGTGATCCATAGGGTCCCTTCCAGTTTTGCTGGTGTTTATGATGAAATTCAAATTAATAACATGCAGTGAGTCCTGTTCACTTGAGCAATACTTTCCATCAGCTCTTCTTACAGAGTCTCAGAGGAAAGCTCAGGGTTTTTTTTTTACTATCCACATGCAGTCCCTTCTCGAAGAAGAAGGAAAGAAAGAAAGAGAATCTAATTATCAACTCCTTTAACCAATCCTCTGCCCCTAAATCCTCTTGATTGATTGCCCTCACCACCAACATCCTGATCTTTCCCTTTAAAGGGGATGCTTTTACCCACCTTCCTCCAGTCACCCAATCCAACCTCCCAGTTTTGTTTCCTCCTCTCCAAAAGAATCCAGGTGTCTAGAACTGAAGCTTTTTCGTGAAGGGTATTCCAGACACCTGCCTCCAGGCGACAGGAAGGAGGCCTTGGCTACAAGCACTTACTGTCCACGCAAGAAGGTTTGCCACGGGTTGTCCCTGCCACTTTTCCCGGGAGGCACGAGCACTGGATAGTTTGGGACCGTTCTTCAATGTGGTTGTGGTTGCAGCAGCGGCGGACAGCAATCACCTTGCAGGTACCTCCACCTTGGATGTGGGGGAACAAGTGGAGAGCAAAAGTTGGGGGAGAAGCCACCTATTAAGATCTCTTTCCCCAGCCACACACCCTAAAAAATTTGGCTGCCAGATTCTGCCCTCTACTTTTGTCATCTAGTTCTCAGCCTACAAGGGCCAAGGTTTTAGTCCTGGCTCCACAGTACCAGTTTCTGGACTACCACCTGGTCCGGCTCGCTCATTGGCATGGGACTGTCACAAGCTCACTGAAAAATCTTGAACATCTCCGCTCTCAGTATTATATTTTGTCTGTGCTCTTTTGCACTTGTAGAAATCACAGCATAGATAGCCCTGCCCTTTGGGACCTAAAGAAAAGTTTTTCTCAGCTCCAGGACATATTTGCCCTGATGCATGGAGGCTTCACACATGCTTTGTTATTGGGAGCCCTGGAGAAAGTGTGTTGGATGTGAGCTTAAAATAAAAGTCTGTACCGGAACCGTTTGGCAAGCACAACACATTGCTGTTATTTTTCCCTGGTAGGTGTAGCTGGATTTGCTTTAGACTTCAATTCAGCTGCCTTAATGAGACTAAGAGTGGGTGCATTTTGCTTGCATGCTCTAAACTGCTTTCTCCAAAACAGAAGCTATACTCACTGATCACTGGGATCTGATCCAATGTGGACTGGTACCAGTATTGCTCATGATGATGCTGTTGACTGTGAATGGAGAATGGCTGAGTGTAGGCACCTTGACACAGAAGAGTGGCACAAATCAAAATTATTGGAGCAGAATCGCACATTGTGGTTGTCCTATAAGCAGAGTGGGCGAGAGAAGAAAGCATGAGGATTACATCTTGTTCATTTAGATCCCCCACCTCTGGAGAAACTGCCCCATCATGTAGGAAAGCTGTACCCTAGTTACACTGAGATAACTTTATGCAAAGGATTGTTTATTGTATACTCTGATGTACAGCTTCCTTTTTCCTCATCTGGCACAGTTCCTTATAGTTTATTGTTATGTATTTTCCTGTCTCCCAAATCTTTAGAAAGTTAGCCTGGCAGGAGGTTTCAGCGTCTTGTAGTCTAGGGAGACATCCTGACCGCTGCAGCATCGGCAACAAAATTTTGGCAAAAATGTAGGAGTGGAAGGTTACAATTAGGGTAGTACCTTTATCTCCTGTCTTAAAAGTCCTTGATCTAATTGCTGGATAGCGCTGTCATTTAGGTCTCTGTCTGCAGAGCCAGAGGCTGGGAGTCTGATTCCCCCACTGGGCCTCCTTGACAGAGGCTGGACTTAATGATCCATAGCTACACAGTTGTTTGATGATGATTTCATCTGCACGTGGGCCTTCTGCTGATGGAAATCACAACTGTTTTGCACTGGCATTGTGTTAGTTGTTGCTATGGCTAGTTTGCCACCTGCTGCAAGGATCTCTGTGCATAACTAGGCTAATTTTCAAGTGGCAGTCCACTACCTGGATGGTTCATTGTTCTCAGTGCCTTACTGTAAGAAGGAGAGTGAGAGAGAGAGACCCCTCTCTCGGGAGTGCCGTCCCTCCCGCCAACTGCTGAGGAAGAGAGCCAAACCCCACCAGTCCCCGCTTCCAGGAAGACAAGACCTCCAGGACATGACCCGGGGAACCTAGAGGGAGATTTGAAAGGACTAACTATCGCAGGAACTGGAACCATCTTGGCGGGCGGGAGAAAAAGGGTGGGAAGTGGTGGAGGTGGGGTTAGGGATATAAGAAGGGGAGAAGGGAAATTGCCAGCGGTTGGGAATGGATTTGGGTTGAGGACCCTTGGGCGGGAAAGATAGAAAAGCTGCAAGTCCCCAAAGAGGAGGCGGATGCCAGGAGGAGACAGGAACTCAACCCCAAGCCATCCTACTGGGGTGAGAGAAACCAAAGAGTGGCAGATGTAGTTGAGGAAAGAGAGAGGGTGGAAAGAGAACGGCGGGAGAGGTTAGAGTGGAGGATATGGGAGGCGCAACAGAGGGGATATCTGGAACCCCTGTTGGAAGGAGAGGAGGGACTATTACTGAATCCTGACACCCCACCTGAGTGGCAGGGACCCTGGAATGACCCGGTGGGAACCCCTTCAAGTAGGGAGATTGGAAAATCCCCCCCCCCATCAGACCTGTTGTCGAAAGGGGAGAAGGTTTGGAACTCGTGTTGAATAACCCAATAAATGTTACCCGTATTTCTAAACCGAGAAGACCCGTTGCTTTATTTGAAAAAGAAAAGGAGCCAACTACTGAACCCTCACACTTACCAACTTGGTGGAGGCTGCCAGGACTTCTGTCCCCTGGCTCAGTCTTCAAGTACTCAGGGTGACATCAGTGTCACAGTGAGGTTGGTAAAGTAGGCCTTTGCAGAGATGACTCACCCACACAGAAACAAAAATATATAGCATGGGGGACTAGAAGTTCTCGCGTCTCTCCTGGAAAGCTACATGCACTTCCTTAAGGAAGCGCATTAAGACACCCATAACATCTCTCACGGACAAATTCCTACAGGGATATCGATCCATGGAAAATTCAACGTATAGGGATTGCTTGTGCACCAACAGAAATGTGCACACACATCCGCTACATGGAGGTAGCACTGATAGTGCCTTTTGTGTCCATGAGGTACAAAATGAACAACATAAGCACATCACACAAGACGGTGTCTGCTTGATTTTCCTATATACCTGTTTTTTTAAATGTAGTCAGTGAGGACTTCCTGCTCTCTTTCAGGTTTCAGGCCTTCATGACCGCTGGGAATGAAGTGCAGCCTGAAATGCTCCCCCAGTTATTTGCCCCTTTCTTCCCATGCCTGAAGGTTTCCAGCACAATTATGGGATGGTGCCAACAGATGGGAGACACATGGAGCAAAATCTCTTTGTTTACACTCAGCATAGATTGGGAGGTCAACTCTAGGTGCCATTTCTGTCCTAGCATTTAGGGGTGAGGCAGAATGCTCGTGTTGAATTCTCTCCGCCACAGCTTTTCCAAGCAAACCGGGCGATGGATGGTCACCAAATGTAGCAAGCCCTTGTGCCCAAGCTAGCTACAGGCCTTTTGGTAGCTGAGCTGCTGCCTTCTCTTTGAATGCAGTCTATGATATCATGGAGGGGCTCAGCCATTGCATAAGCTGATGTCACGGCCAGGCTTGTGCAGCTGATGTTAGAGGGGAACACTTTACCCTTGTGTTTCAAATACTGAAATAGCACAAGTCAACCTTACACAGAGGATTGGGGCAAAACATCTCCCACTTTGCCACTCTTGGATTGTCTCAGTGACAAACCAAGACTAGACAATAGCACCCCTGCCTTTTCCTTCATCTGCTATATTTACACGTGTGTTTGCCTCTGTTTACTATTGATACCTTCTCTGACATTGATTTTACATTCCTTTGATTTATAAAGAGCTCCTTGTGTTCTCCTTAAGCAAGATGCCAGTGATCTAAAACTGAAAGTTGAGCAGTTACTTATTTTCAAGCTTGATAGTTTACTATGTTTTTTTTACTATATTGTCCTTCGTCTTCTATTGAAGAAAATCTTTCTGAATTCTATTTCTTTTTGGAGAAGAAAAAAAGTACAATTTCAAGCCAAGATTGAAGCACCTGGGCATATTTGGGATCCCATGACACAGATGAGCTACAGTGTAACTGCCCCCTTGCTCTGTAGACCCCACACTGGGGAAATGTGGGGATTTCATTTCATTTCATTTTAATGCAAGATTGCGGGGCAGCTGTTCCAGCTGCACAAGACACATTGCTGGGCACGCCACCTTGTGTCCCATTACTTTCTGCACAGCATTGTGGGATAACTATTCCTTCTCTGAAACGCAGGAAGAAAGAGAAGTCTATCCATGTCTCCTAATCACTGTTAGCCCCATTATCAGAGCCCAGGACAGCTTGCTTTGCAAAGGACAACAGGGGAGGGCCAGCGTCCTTGTGTTCCTCCTGAGGGTCTCTGATCTGCTCGGCAGGACAGATTGCTGGAGGGCAGAACCCATCGGTCTGACCCAGCAGGGCTGCTCACATGTTTTAAACTGGCACATTCACAGCATGAGGCTGGGTCAGGAGCTAATACAAAATCATATGCCCTCAGCCTGCTTTTTAAAAAGTTCTTCTGTTATCCTTGTCTTTCCTTATCTTTCTTCGCCTCCTTTTAGTCACATACTTTTCCTAATCTCCAGCCTGTCAATAAAAGCTCCTGAGAGCAGGGATCTATCTTTTTGTTTAAAAAACAAGGCATTATGGGCACAAATTGAGCCAGTGGGTGACCTTGGGCTAGTTGCTCTTTCTCAACCCAAACTACCTCACAGGACTGTTGTGAGGAAAAAACCCATGTACAGTAAACTACTTTAAGGCAATGGGAGGAATAGTGAGATATTATAAATAGCAAAATGTAGATAAATGGGCATATACATATACACACTCTTCCTCTCTCTCTCTCTCTCTCTCTCTCTCTCACTCACTCACTTACTCACTCATTCACTCTCTCTCTCACACACACACACACATGCACACACACACATATAAAGTTTTACAAATATTTCTTGATAGCACTCAGAAGCTCAGACTTCACTTCAGATCCAGTTCTTGGACCCGTCCTCTCATTTTATCCTATGTCAATAGGTTAAGCCTGGAAGTCAGTGATCTCAATCCTAACCAGTAAGGCATGTGTTTATACCCCAGTGGCATGACAGGTTTAATCATGTCTCTTCAGCCACTTCAGGATCATGTCTACCACTCTGCAGTGGGAGGAAACACCCCAGATTAAGAAGGAATCAGCCACCATAAATTTGAAAGAGGAACAGAAGAGGTGAAGCAATTAAAAAATAATATGAACTTTCAAACTTTCAGGAGGTTCCTTAAATATCTTAGAAGCAACTGTAACAATGCTAGGATGAAACAAGACTGCATATTAATGTCATTTGAAAAGTCAAAAGATGTGTTATTGTTCTTTGCATTCAATTTCTGTTGTTTCCAAAACACCTACAGATTCAGCTAAAGTCTTGTTACAGTTCAGTACAATACTTGTTCCCTGGTTCTCACTTTCCTGCTATGCTGATTGACCAGCTTCTCAAACCTCTTACTTTTCACATTGTACAAAGAATCTTACCTGTGTCCCTGTCCGTGGTGCTGAAGTTTTTTTTTCTCACCTCTTCATCTGAGCCATGGAGAAATGACTTGAAGTGGAAAGCACCTCCTTTCTTCCTTCTTCTCTGTTCCCCTGCTGGGGCATAGATTGGAGAAAGAGAGAGGAGAGGAGAGAAGCACAGAGCACAAACTCTGGAAACTAATGTAACTGTTCTGGCAGCCTTGATCTGCCCTGATTACAGCCCCCTTGTCATCTAGCAACTACATTGCCCGCCCCATCCAGATTTGGGGATGGATGGAACCAAATGTCCTGGCTCCCAGCCTTCCTTCTGTAACCCAGCAGATGTCCTGCTGTCTGTGTGAGCTTCTGAATCTGCCTATTCTTCACATTCCAGGCTTGATTGATGTATTCATATGAGGGTGTGTAAGAGAGAAAGAGTGAGGGTGTAAGTAAGGGAGAGTTGGAGCCACAGTCTGTCTCTCTTTGTGCTTCTTCCTTCTACTGCCTCTCCTAACACACCCACACACAGCCTCCTCCTCCAGATCTGGCATCTCATTCCCACTCTCACTGGGAGATCAGCCCAGGAGAGAACTCTGCCAGTTTCTCTCTCTTCTTTCCCCCTTCTTGCTTTTGCTACTTCGCACTTTGGGATTGTCAAATGCTGGTGCCACAAAATAATATCTTGCAACAATGCAGCTAAAGATATGTATGCTACCTTAAAGTCAATGGAGGAATGGTGGGGATATTAATAATAACAAAATAAGTATAGAGCCTTGTGGCGCAGTGGTTAAACTGTAGTATTGCAGCCCAAACTCTGCTCACAGTGAGCGTTTGACACCAACAGATCTGACAGCTAGCTTGTGTTTGACACCAACAGATCTGACTCAGCCTTCCATCCTCCTGAGGTCAGTAAAATGAGTACCCAAGTTCTTGGGTGGGTGAGCAGGCAATGTGTAGCCTGTATAATTAAAACATTGTAAAATGCCCAGATAGTGCTTTAAGCACTACGGGGTGGTATGAAAGTAGCACAGTTTGCTTCTGCACTTTATAGATAAGTGGTCTTTTAGACCAGATGGGCGGGTTATAAATCAAATAAATAAATGGGCATATATATCACTATGACTTCTCTCAGCAACTCAGGGTTCATTTCAGATCCAGTTCCTAGGCCTGTCCTCTCATTTTATCCAGGAAGAATAGCTCCATCAATTCTAGCTTCTTCCCCCTTGGACATCTAAAACAATTAATCCTGTTAGAGTCTTGCAAATTAAAGACATATCTGAAATACTAAAATACTCAGAAGAGCATCTAAACTGAGTTTATGGCTATTTTGCAGACACAGGACTGAGTGGCATGCAAGTTGAAGATTATGTTGACTTTCCTGGAGCAGTAAGGACCTGAAACTCACCTTTTATTTTAAAATATAATCTGTTGTGTCCTTGATCTGTCAGAATACAATAGGACACCCTTATCCACTGGATTAATGTCTGCTGATTCCCTTATCGACAGCCTGAAAATATTAAAAATATTAAAATAAAAATAATAGAAATACATATTTTTGAAGATGTTACCAGAACTGGCCACTAGAGGAAACCAGAGACAATGCTACATACTGTATAATGTCTACTAGGAATATATTTCCATGATGTCATTACCAGAACTAGCCACTAGAGACCATGCTATGTATAGCGCTATTAAAATAGCGTTCACTATAATCCGCATTTTGCAGCATCCATGGGAGCCGGTGGCTTGGAACCAATTCCCCACGGATAAGAGGATATTCATGTACTGTATTAATGCATGGGAAGCAGTTTAAATTACAACACACTTGTGTGCAAAACTGAAATGTTTCAAGTTATAATTGCTTATGTTTCTTAACTTTTTCATCAACATGTCTCATGGCCAGTGCTACCAAAGATAGTGTGGTTGTCCTCCAACTGAGGTTTGACACTCACCACCACCACTACACATAGTGTACCACTCAGTTATTCGTTCTTCAAAGCAATTTTTTACCTGGTAAAACTATGTGAAGTAGAGGTTGTGAACACTGGTCCTGAAGAGTGGTAGTTGTCAGTGGATCCCATTCCTGTAATTCATCTAGGACTAATCCTCTGATTAGCCAGCGTGGTGAGGCATAGCCCATGATGGGAAGACACAGCTCTGTCTGGAGAACATGGGCTGAACTCACCTGTTGCTTAGGGTAATGAATGGCACTAGAGTAGGCTCATTAAAACAGTGGGGATTTGGTGAGTCAGCCCCTCCATAAGTTCCTTTGATTCAAATAAGCCAACTCTAGTTGGGACTTGCTATGTTAAGCAACAGGATTTCAGCCACTGTCTTTTCACCAGTGTTGAAGAGTCAACTGCGAGTATGGTCAGATTCTATTAATACAACAAAGGCATGAGTGTGTACCTAATTTTGCTGCATAGATTAGTTTTTTAATTTAAGGTTTTTCTTGCTGATGGCATAAAGTGCCATCTTCAGGTAGGGAAAATTATAAATACATTCTTATCAAATTGCCAGAGCAATAATGACTCATCCATTAGTTCAACTGGGACACTGCCTACCATAACCTTACACTAGTCTCTAAGCCTCACATTACCCTCAAGCCACTCTACTCCTGCTTGGTTCCTTACCAGAGGCACCAGAACTCTGTGTGTGTGTGTGTGTGTGTGAGAGAGAGAGAGAGAGAGAGAAATAGGGTTGTGGAATGCTTGTCTAACCATGTGTGTTTGTGTGTGAGAAAGACATTCTGCAAGTGTGTGTGCATATGAACACCCACTTTTGCCTCAGCGCTACCCACCATTGTTTGCAGTGCCATCTGCCCCACCAATAGCAACCGCTACTATTTGCCACTGCAGCTGAGCCTCTCATGTTAGGGTGGAGGGGAAGCATGTGGCAGAGCCCCTGTGTGTGAATCCAGGTTTGTTCCTCATCCAATCATGTTGAAGTGAGAAGAGAGAGAGAGACAGAGAGAGAGAGTAGCATCATGCTTATTAATTAGGCCACATGCAGATTGGCACAAGCACTTCATTTACTTACTGATTCCTTGGGAAGTGTGTGTGGCTCAGGAAAAAAAACCCAGCAGAATGGTGAAAAGCCATCATCTTGCCAACAGTAGAGCTAGAAATAGATAAGCGTGGGGACTTCAAAAAGCCCTAAGGAAACTCACTTGTCTTAGGGTTGAACTCAAGGCAGTTTCTTTTAGCCTCATAAGCTGCTTTTGAACACAGGAGGCAATAATAAGAGACACGGTGTCTCCCAGCAGGTACAGACTGCATTTTACTGAAACCAGACCTACATGGATTTCTCTGCTCAGTTGTACTGAAGGTGGTTACATCTTTCTGGTTCCTTAGCAGCACGGAACTTCCATAGAGAACGGAAACAAAAATTATAATTAAAACAAACAAGCAAATTGAAAAGACCTAAAGTTACTCCATATCATGTCTCTCCATAACTGTGTCATTAAAAATGAGGCAATAATTCTCACCAGTTTAAAAAAAAGGTGTGTTTTTTGTAACACAAAAGGAGCGATGACCCCAAGTTACAAATAAAGAAATGTAGGCCTGAACTGCTTAGTAACCTTTGAGCTATTTTGAATTATACCCTGACACATTCAGGATACTGCCTGTAAGTGAAGGCATCATATTGCATTTAGCTCAAGATCTTGTGTATTTGCAGAACACCATCAAGGATGGAGCCCTCAGGCAGTAATAGCCATGGCCAGCAAGAAGTGATAAATAAGGAAATGAAGTTGTACAGTGATGAACTATTCCCTGCTACATTTTCCCAGGTGGCAAGTTAATTAGTTCCACAAGGTCCACCATTTCATTCTTAGCCTTGACTATTGGATGCATATTACCATTTGTGTCCATGGTGATTTGGATGCTGAAGTTACATACTCTGCCTTGAGCTCTCAGAGCTTAGAAGTAACACAATGTTACCCACAATGTTACTTTTTATATATAACAAGTGCATTTGGGAACACCAATGTATCGTTCGGTAGATCAATGACGTTTTCTCTTTACTTTTGAATAACTTTTTTGGAATGTCTGCAAGTTTTAATTTATGCCATTCTTTTATTAATCCCAATTCATCTCCTGATAAAATGCAAAAGTAACAAAACATAATGAGTCACTCTGAAAAATACTATGGGTGGTTTGTTCTTTTGTTCGTTCTTTTGTTTGTTTCTTCCTTCCTTTTCCTTCCTCAAAATGACCAGTTATTGGAAAGGTGTTTGCAGTGAGTTGTGTTTTAGAATAATTTGGTACAGTACATAATTTTCCAAGGTCTATGAGATCTGTACTGTATAGGCATTGCCTGTAACAAGGCAACCTCATATTGGCCATGTACTATTTCAATGGGCCTCCAGATGTTCTTGGACTACAACTCCCAGAAGCCTTCACCACCACCTCTGCTGGCCAGGATTTCTGGGAGTTGAAGTCCAAGACCATCTGGACTGGCCATGTACTATTTCAATGGGCTACAGGATGTGATGGGAGCCTGTTACACTTATGAAACCAATTATTATGTACTATAGGTACAGAAACCCCAGAGAAAGGGACCATAACCAGTGGTTCTTAACTTTGGGTTACTCAGGTGTTTTTGAACTGCAACTCCCAGAGCCAGCACAGCTGGTGGTGAAGGTTTCTGGGAGTTGCAGTCCAAAAACACCTGAGTAACCCAAGGTTAAGAACCACAGACTTAGATGACTAGGTATACACTGTGGAGCCATGTCTCTTTTGGCCTCTTGTAGTGTGAACTTAATGTGCAACAAGGAAGAGCTGTAATGAGGAATAAGGGTGTGCTGTGCCATACATCCGGCCTCTCAAGACCCATGAGAAATACGAAGACATTGGTAACACATCATGCCTGTACTCCTACCATGGGACTCCAGACACAGCCTTCAACATGACTCCACTCCAATCCCTCTGGGGAAAGGTGGTAAGCAAATGTATATATAAGAATGTGCAACTTTGCTTCAGAAAGCATGTAGGTTACTTTTATTTACTGAGAAACTCACCAGCCCCCACCCAAGGAACCGTGGCCAATGGAGGGCCCTGCCCTAGACACTCTCACTTTTATTTATTGTTATAATCCAATCTTTCCCCAAGACTTAGGGCTAATAATAACACTTTATGGCTATTGATTTTCCTTTGAAGATGATTTATCTTTAATAGCTCTCAGAGGCTGATATTCAGTAAGAAAAGCATTTCCTAGTACAGTATAGAAATGCAGAAACAGGAACACCCCAGCAGATCCACTTCTTAATCTGCCATGCGTTAAACTGTTAAAAGCCTTCCGATAAGTCCATTGAGAAGAATCTTTTCTTTTTTAAGTGAGGGAACCCCGAATCCATCCATTTCGATGCGAAACCCTAAGTATTGTGGCGCTTTCTCCCGTTCCGAAATTTATCTTTGGTCTCTTTAAGAGTAACTTCGGCCGGGCGGGGAGCATCGGCTTTGAGTTGCCTAGCAACGCGTCCTTCTCCCTACAAGTCAGCACGCCCCCCGCCTGACCAGACCTTGATCAAGGCAAAGAGACCTTTTAGAAAGGAATTCAGACATCACTTCCGGTTTTGATTAGAACTTCGTCAGCGCTCGAAGCAAGAAAGGCGGAAGGGGGAAAATAGGCGCTCGGCCCTAAAATGTGTTTTCAGCGGGGTGGTTGGATGGATAGTCTCATCGCTGCATGGCACAAGCTCTTGCCGTAATGAATTTGCCAGACTCCGGGGTCTGAGCAACCACAGGCCCCTGGCTATTCTACTTGGGTGCTCCAGCCATTCCCTTCCATTTGTTTGCCTGTTTTATTTATAGGGCGCCTTTCTCCCAGTAAGGAGATCCAGAGCGGCTCACAATATTAAAAAGAATAGAATTAAAAACCTAATAGGATCCAGAGCGGCTCGCAATATTAAAAAAGAATAGAATTAAAAACCTAATAAGTTAAACATTAAAAAAACAAAAAGTCCGCTCTAAATAAAGTACAATTAAATAATCAAAAGCACCGTGTCCCGCACCTGTTAAAAGAATTTCCCCCTAAAACGGGCAATCTGTTCCAGCTTGTTTGCGAGAAAGGGAGACGAGAGTAGCTTCTTGCCCTTCCCAATCAGGCCGTAAAAATGCTTTAGGCCAGCACTGGTCTAGTCCTATACTTTACGTGGAACCCAGGGGGGAAAAACTCAGTCTAGCTGTTTGGGGAGTATGGAAGTTGTAGTCCACAAAAGGAAGTTTCTTTTTGAGTGAGCCACGCGCAGTGCTTTAGCGGTTTCCTTCCAACGAAGAAAGGTAGAGGAGAATCGAAGCCTGAACCTGGAGGAAGCCCTAAGAAGGCGAGATTCTTCCCTTTTTGCAGGCGGACACGGCTGCCCCTCTTGTCTCTTGGAAAAACATAGGCTTTTTCTAAAGTGCATGCACCGAAAAGTAAGCGCCAAACATAAACACCAGGTATGAAAAATGAATAATCAATCCCTCGCTAGCTTCATCTTTATTGTTTTTTTCTTTCAACCTACCTCGACCTTTTTTGTATTTTGGTTTTATTGTATTTCTGCCGCATTGGTCCCATACTGTGCTCAAGCTGCGGCGAAGAACCTAAAAGTCTTGGTCGAGCCCTAT